CCATCAGAAGTCTGAGACGATGATTTGGTCATGGAGAAATAAATCTGTTTCTCTAAGTTTGGAAGAGTTACTTTTTTGGAATACAGCTCTGAGAACCATTTTTATAGTCTGAGGCTTTGCCTCATTTCACTAATTTCCGGTCTGAGTTTGGAAGAATTACTTATTAGACTTACTGTTGTATGTCTTCAAGTCATTTCCAACCTATGGCAACCCTAAGACAAACACCGAGGGTTTTCTTGGCAAGGTTTCTTCAGAGGGAGTTTGTTGTTGCAGAGGGAGTTGAGAGTGTATGACATGCCCAAGGTTACCCATTGAGTTTCCCTAGCCAAGCGGCAGTTTGGACCCTGGTTTCCAGAGTTCTAGTCTAACACCCAAAACACCACACTAGTTCTCTAGAACTCCCCAAATCCTTGCATACATATTCCAGCAAATTTGTCCCTGAGTTTGGAAGACTTTACTTTTGGACTACAACTCCAAAAATCCCCCAGCCACCATCTCCTGCCTTCTTATACCTCTGAACCTATGCCTCACCTTAGAAGACATAATTTTTAAACTTTATTTAAAAAAGTCTACTGCCCTGAAGTAGACTTCGATTCATGGTGACCCTGTGAGTGAGACACCTCCAAAAAACTTGTCCTCAACTTCTCTGCTCAGGTACTGCATGCCCAGGGCTGTGGCCTCTTTAATAGAGTCTATCCATATAGTACATGTGTAAGAGATGAAAAATAATGTTAAAAAAACCTACAAATCTCATGGCTAATTTGGGACTGGATTGGATGACCCTTGGGATCTCATTTTCTATGTTTAAAATTGTGTATTTGCAAGGCTTTTTAGCTCTGCTTCACTGATAATATGGGAGATTGTTTTTTGGCCTTGAAAGCTAGACAGTCAGCTTCACAGCCAAAGTTGATAAAGATGATATGAGCGGGCAGTAGGGAGGAAAGCTAAATTTGTTTGCGCATGGCAAATAGAAGTGTAATGTAATCAGGAAAGGAGGGGTTTTGGGAGTTGTGTCCTATAACCAATGAAAATGTTGAATTATGCATGTGTTAATATAAGTTAGCTGTGTAAGATGGTATATAAGGATGTTGATTAGCAAGGGGGCGCACTCTCTGACAGAGGCCTGTCCACATTAAAGGAATAAACTCTATTTTTCCTGATTCAAGGGTCTCTGTTCCTGTGTTATCTACAACACATGGTCTCCCTCTCTTTCTACTACCCTCCACCTTTCCTAGCATTATTGACTTTTCTAAGTGTGGCATAGTGTTTTCAGTGTTTTGGACTATGACTCTGGAGACCAGGGTTCAATTCTCAGCTTGGCCATGGATAAGTCACTGGGTGACCTTGGATAAGTCACATGCTCTCAGCCTCAGGGGAAGGC